CCCCAAAACCCCAAAACCCCAAAACCCCTTCTACAAATCCTCTAATTGGATTAAGAAATTGTGATCTTCTTTGCAATAGTCAAATTTCTTGAAAAGGTGCGCTTCCTCATATTGGCAAATTTATGTGCCAGCTTAAACTTGCTCAATTTTCCTCTACCTAAAGGTCAGCAGTATTATACTTGATAACTGAAATTGCAAGGGTTGCTTGGTCTACAGAGATAAGCTAGAGATTACCATTGTTCTCCATTTTTGATAATTTTTAAACTTTGCCAGCCTGTATTGATAACTTAGAAGTACTATAAGTAAGTTTAGATATCTGAAAAGAGTGCTGAAATTGGGAGTAGATCCGTTAAATCATCTCCGAGCTTCTCTTACCCTTTCTTCATTGATAGGAAACTGTAGCATAGTTCCTTTTACTCTGAACTTCTTGATATTATGCTCAACAAAAATTTTAAGTTGTTCAAATGACATTGGGCTATTGTTCACGTTCTATAACTCAGCCGGATGATTTACCTTTGAAAACTTGAGGGGCTGAGGAGACAGATATCGTCTCTCTGTTTTATTAGGAGACCTATTACTAATTCTTTGTAATTACACAAGTAAATTCTTAGTAAGGCCATCCCGAGTGTCACTAAGTCCCTTAATAAACCTAGTGAATTCCTTGAAAGATGGAATTCTGTCATCTTTGCTTTCAGAAGGATCACTTCTCATGGTGTCTAATACCCTAATGGTTTTATCTTGTGTAGGGGTTCTATAGAGTAGTATTCGTGATACCTCCTGGTCTTAGCTTGAGCATCTCTGATCTTCTGTATCTATACACACTTTTAGCAAAGCTTCATTAGTAACAGTGGTTTATGAGGCTCATACATGGTCGAGACATCACATAGATAAGCCAATATAGATGAGATTATGGGATTTAATAAGTTGAAATTCACTTACATATTCCTTCTGTTTTAGAATAATAATCTCTTGTTTCGCATACTCTCTTAACTTGTTAAGGTCGATGATCTTGCTCCTGCTGTATTTTTGACTGATTCCTAATATGTTAGGACAGAGATGTACCTTGAGTTGGGAGAAATTCAAACTGCCCTAAATTTCCAGCAACTTGGGATAACTCAGAAGAATCAATTATAGGTACGTAGCTAGTTAAAGGTATATCCACAATTGAGTAGTTTGAAGTGAGAAGCTTAGTGATAAAACTCAAGTCTATTTATGGTGAGATTAGAGAGAACAGAACAAAAATTTAAGGTATTTCTGACAAAAGAATTTAATAATTTTAGCACGTAAGCTACCTACCTGTATCTTCTTTGTACATCAATGTCATCAGCTCGAATTCGCTTATTAAAGGTGTAAAATGAGCATTATCATGCATTTTAAAACGAGAGTGGACTCTATAAATATAAATTATATCAAAACATCAAAAATTAACACTCAAAATAATGATATCCTATCTTGATTTTTGTTAAATGTTCTCCCAAAATAAACTTCTAGTATTGCTTACTTTATCAAGGAGCTTTCAGATTTCTTCTTGGTCATCTCTACTTTAGAGTCTAAAACTGGGTTATTCTTCACAAGACTTGCTTAATTTCTTGGATCCTGCTTTATTGCTATCTGGCTCGGCGGCCTATAAAAGTAAAGTATTATTATGTACAAAAGAACAAATAATCTTGACTACTTGTATGACTAATTTTGAAGAATAATGAATCTATGTCGAACAAACTGGGTGAGGAATACTCAGGTTTTATGGTTTAAAATCTGGTAATATAAAGAGGTAATAGACCCACAATCTAACTAGGGTAAGCTTAATGACTCCATGTCATAGTCGAGCTGATAAGTTAGGCATAAAAATGTGAAATAACTTTCTGTTACCTCTATGTCTTTGTTGTATTTAACAAATTTATTTAGGGTTCTTCTTGATGAGCCCAGTGACGTGCTCAGTGACCAATCATAACAAGTCTAATAGTTGCTATAATATGAGATTATTTTAACCTTTACTGTTGGATCAGAAACATCCTTCGTAATTGGCCTGATTGAAGACTGAGCTGTATTTGATCTGAGGCTGGAACTTGTTACATACATTTTCTTAAAATATTATTCAAGATTCTAAAGATCAGAGGGGTTTTGGGGTTTTGGGGTTTTGGGGTTTTGGGG